CCTGCAGGAGGAGGAGAAGAGAAAATGGAAAAAGAGGGACTGGGAATGGGACAGCAGTGATGAGCAGGGAACCACATTCCTCTGAGGACAGTTATGACTAACCATGAATCTTTGGAGCATGGTAAAGTTATGCATGCCAGACAGCAAATAATTAATTAAAAGAAACAAGAACATAGAGCAAAGCCAAACTGGAAGACAAACACTCACAGCCAGGATTTCAAATGAAAAATGCAACCAAAATGAAGTGGTGAGGGAAAAACGGACAGGTAGGTATCTTTGGAAAACATTGTCTTGACTAAGTACTGTGAGGTTGAAGATGTAAATGTACAAGGTAAAAAATATTGTACTCTCTTTAGAAATTTTATTTCTGATGTGGGTACATGCAGTTCTGGTATCATTCATATGTACTAGAAGTAAGAAAAAATATGTAAATGCTTGATATTTTAGATATCACAGCCAGGTTTCTCACTTGTCAGAGAAAGTTCATTTAAGGGCTACCAAATCTATTGAATTGAAATATCTGGTGTTGCTATGAACTTATGATCTGTAAGTGTGCACATGAATATAGATACAGACATACATATAGAATTAGGTCTGTAGGTGAGATAATACACATATGTCTATGCATTTCCACTGGTAAACACCTACAACCGTGCAAACCCCAGATGTGAGGATCACACAGAGTCTACAGCATAGATTTGAATACGTTCCCAATTTAAAACAAAAACAAGAATTATTTGAGAAATGGCTGAATGTAGGGCTGGCACCAAAGACATACAGATAAGCAGGCAAAGTCTTCAGTACAGAAAATATCTGGAAATACAACCGAGGGTACTGCCATAAAAGGCAAGCTAGAAGCCACCATAAAGCAGCTATCGAAAGCCAAAGCTGAAGTAATCTGTGCAGCAAAATATATCTTGACAGGATTCGCTTGCAATCCTTAGATTAAAATATCTATGGGTCTATCTTAATGTAAGTAAGTAATTCATGAAACAAATAATCACATGAGGAAGATTAATAGTGTTGCTTTAGAGAAGATTTCCAATTATTAAAACTGGAAGGAATAAGGGAAAGTAACCAACATTTTAGTAATATGCGCCTCAAGCAAGGTCCATGACAGATGCTAACCTTAGTTGGTAAAACTTATTCAGAAGCAGAATATTGTCATGATCATAAAGGACCTCCCACTAGATATTTATTAATTTTACAGGGGTACATATTAGCTGTTGATAAGCCTGGTAAACATGATTTTAATAAGGGATCAAGGCTAACACTACCATTAATGAAACACATTATCTCTGGAATGTGATATTAAGTTCTGAAGTCATACACAGAGCAGGGAATTGCCTAACTTGTGAAATAGTTTGCAAAAAACATTGTCTAACTTCATAAATACTGAGAAAAGCTCAGGTAAACTCCAATTGAGGCACATTCCATAAAATAACTGACCAGTATTCTTCCAAAAGGTCAAGATCACAGAAGAAAAATGAACAACAGAACTCGATGAGCTCCAAACCCCTTTAAGTGTTTTCATAATCAACATTGAAATACAAACTCAGGGGACCTGGGATCCAGCCAGAGTGAAGAAAGTAAGTACACAGAGCAACTGAACACACTGGAGAGGATGCTGGACTGGGAAATGGTCTTGGTTGAAGAACTGGTGACATCTCAGCAAGGTCTGGTGTTCAGTTAACAGCATCCTCTGGGTGTGGAAGCCCTCAGTCTGAGCACTGTACTCAGGTTACATGAGATGTTCTCTAGGTGGAGGACATTTTGAACCCTGTGTTAGTTCTATAATATTTTGTATCCTCAGCAATTTCAAAGAAAGTTTACAAGGACGCACACAAATTTATTTTTGATGAACTAAAATGAAGTTGGGATTCACTTCAAGTATTGTTGATCGCTGTTGCCCTCAAAAGGCTCCCAGTTCAGTGGGGAAGCCAGATAACCTATCAGAGAACAGCAATACTGTCAGGGAAGCAGAGGCCAGGACGGCTGGGAGGAGAGGCGAGGTGGGCTCCAAGCACAAGAACCACGGCATGCAAGGGCTTGGCTACAGAGAAAGGCTGAAGTGTCACCAAGAAGGGAAGGTCGGCAAACAACCTCAGTAACGGGGCTGAGATCTTCCGAGCCAGAGCTGGGACCACTCAGCCAGATCCCTTGTGCTTATGCAGTTATGCAGTTGTATTCATAATTTCGTTCTTTCAGCACACGTAGATGATGATCTCACACTTTTCTCCCCCAAGACTCATTCCTGAAATCACTCCCCTATGGCCCTCTCTTCCTATCACCACCAGGTTTTCTCATATGCCGTGAATCTTTCAGCCTATAGTATGAAATCCTCCGATAGCAGAGTTCAAGTGAACTTCTGGGGCAACTGAATGAAGTTCAAACTCCTTTTATTCACCGATAGCATTAAAATGCAATATTAGGTATTTGTTATTTCTGTTTAATCTGGCATGGATCCTGAAAACTTCAGCTGTGGGAGTGGCTGATCCCTATCGGGCTCAGCCATTTTCTAGGGCAAGAGTTGTCACAATATTAAAGCAGCTACTATACCCATATCCAGCCAGCCTTGCTGTGCTGAATAGAGGCAGCCAGGACTTTGCTGACATTAGTGGTGCCTTTTAAATCTTCATAAATGTCCTCATGTGTTTCCCTCTGTGGTACTTGGTGTGAGTGCTTCATGGTCTTCTGCCGTGTGCGCTCAGGGTATAATTCAAATTTTGATTCTTTGTTCTCTAAGGAAAAAAATAATCATTCTTTCTAATGACACAGAATCTCACTGTTGTTTTCCTTTGTAGTTCTTTAATGGCCAGAGATGTTGAATTTTTCTTCATGTACTTAGTGGCTATTAATTCTTCTTCTGAGAAGGATCTGCTCATTTCAGTTGTGCATTTTGTGACTGGTCTTTTATTTCTGGGGCAGGCCTAAGTTCTTGAAATCCTTGCATATTCTAAATGTTAGTCTACTATCTGACCTTCTTAGATACATACACTTGTTATTTCTTTTTTTTGTTCCATGAAGAATAATGTGTCTGTTAGATACAAGCAGAGAGATATACTTAAGCAAAGAAAGGTAGAAGTGGAAAGATCAAATTGGTAATGAAGATAGAAAATATTAATCAGGAACAGACAAATTCAGCTTTTAAAATCATGATATTGATGGATATTGGTGGTTGATAATATTTACCCTAGGCAAGACCTATTATAGATGTTAAAATCCATGAGTAGAAGTTGTTCACAAGGAGACATTTTTCATGAAGACTCTCTCACAAAACATTTAATAATTCCAGAGGGATAAATAGTAATAGTTGAGACCCCTGGAAGACAAAACTTTGATGAAGGGATGAAGGTTAACATCACCAGTAATGAAACATGTCTGGAATATGATACTATGTTTGGATATCACAAACTGAGAAAGGGGCAACCTAACTTCTGGGATATTTCTCAGAAAATATATAACTGCAATCAAATCATGAGAAAATCTCAGGCAGACTCTCTCTCAGGCATGATCCCTAAAATAACTGACTTCTATTCTTCCGAAGTGCCGACATCATACAAGACAAGTCTAGCGTGAGGACCTGCCACAAAGTGAGGAGACTCAGCCACCACAGCAAGAAAATACAGTGTTGGGAGGGTATTCTGCACTACAAAATGGCTCTTGTGTGAAAAATTGTTGAAATCTAAGCAAGATGTGATATTTAACTAATAATATTATAGCAGTGTGAAACCCCTCAATTTGACCACTGTACTCAGGTTACATAAAATATTTTCATGAAAGGATACTGGGAGCATGATATTTTGAACTCTACTAGTTCTGTAATTTTTCTGTAGCCTCAATAATTTCAAAAAGCTTAAAAGACATTATTCAGTTACAAAATAAAATAAAATTTTGCATTTGCTTCAGATATTGTTTACAATTGTTGTCAAACATGCCCTCTACTGCCTCACACACAAAAACCCACTAGTGAAAGGCAATATAATAAGGGAAGCAGAGGATGGCTGGGAGGAGAGGAGAGGTGCGGTCCTAGCAGAGAAACCAGCACACGTGAAGCCCAGAATAGACAGAAAGAGTAAAATGCAGCCAAGAAGAGAAGGGTTCGCACGTCGCCCAGGTAATGCAGTCGAGGTCGTCCCATTCAGGGCTGGGGCACTTCCAGCGGATTCGTGTTGCCACAAGAATTATGCAGCTGTACTCCTAATGTAGCCCATGTTACAGAGGTAGGTTGCTATCTCCCAATTTCCTCTATCAAGACCTCCTTGCTGACACCATACTATGGCCCAGTCCTCATTCTTCATTTTGCAGTGTCATTACTCTTGCACAGTTCAGAGAAATATGAAGCCTTTTGGGGCAACCGAATGAACTTGAGATGTGCTTCAGTGTATCCATAGATAATCCTGAAGTGAAACATTAATGATTTTGCATTTTTGTCTAATCTGCCTTAGACTCTGGAGCCTGGAAGCAGAGGGAGGGGCTCTTCCCTGCTGGACTCTGCCCTCTCAGAAAGGCTGCTGCAGTATTAAAGCAGCCGCCACACTCATCTGAGCTCTCTTGAGGTGCTGAGCGGAGAGCAGGCAGGACTTTGCTCAGGTTAGTGTTGCTTCTTTTATCGTCATAAACGTTCTCTCATCTGTTGCACTAGGAAAGTGTTCTCAAAGGTGGTACTTTGTGTGAGTACTTCGTAGGCTTCCACTCTCTCTGGGTGCTTAGGAGACAATGCAAGCCTTGGGATATTTGTTATTTATGAAAGACCACAGTGAAGAGCTTACAAAGTGAAGGCATTATAGTCGATGACATGAGAAAGGGAAGAATGCGGCCACAGTAGCACCCGGGGTGCGCAGAGCTCATGATAAAGCTGTGCTGTCTGTTACGCAGGGGGTATCAGTGCTTCCTGCAGGAGTCTGCACACAGTAATACTGGATTTGTATCTGGGAGGGTGACGTGTTTGGAGAA